ATTCCACTTACCTGCTTTTCGTATAAAAATTTTAATTTCTCAATGAATATCTCATCACTTTCTGTACTAGGGATAATATTCCCCAAGACCAATAATGTGAAGAGTGAAGGTTTATCAACTACTTATAAGCCTGTATAAGCCTGTAAAGCCCCTTTATTACCAGGCCATTTTTTATTTTCAGTGCTGTGATAGTTTTACTGACAATTATTCATACAAGACTATACCCAAATTAATTGTATGTAGATTTTTAAAACAGAGCTTTATTTTTGGTGGTATTTAATTATCAGTGTTTTTATTTTTTTTTTTCTGTATAAATAAAAAAAAAAGAAAACAATTTTTGAAACAAATACAATTCTCTGTTCTAAAACATAACAGTAAAATTGACAGGACAGTACAAACATGCTCCAAAAAAACATTTTTGAAAGTAGACACCCCAAAATAATCTAATTCTTTCCAACAATATTTTGTAAAAACAAATTGGTGTTGAGATGATTAAAACATGGAGCATAGGGATTCCCATCCCTAATGCTACCAGAGTTACTGTGGGGTGACGCTTGTCCTTGGGACTTCACTGTGAAGGATGCTGTCTGAGGATAGTCACAGGTAGCTGGGTTTTGTATTGTTTACTAAAGTAGTGACTCTTTGTTGTTTTAAAGCCTTATAGAGACTTTGCTATGCAGCCACATGTTGCCCTGATTGGTTCACAGAGACATTGCTTTGAATAGTCTGTGTTTGTGCAGCTTTCATTATTTTGCTATTTATACATGTTTTTTTAACTTGTTTTGCTTTATAACCAGCATTGCATCTCACTCAGTAGACCTGTGGGTGGTGGGAGAGCCGTCTAGATATGGAGAGTTCAGCTGTGCTGCTGGTATTGCAAAGTTCTGACTACAAAAAGTGCCCTTTACTGTGGTATGAAAGGAAAAACCTGAAATGAGAGAGATACAGGAGTTGCCATCACTGCCCACAGAAAGCTCCTGCTGGGCCTGGGTCCCACTGCTGACCCAGTGAGGCCCAGAATGGGAATACTGGCTGCACCCTCCTATTAGCAACCCTTCCGCCCAGTTAGCAGCATAGACATATATAACATTGGAGGCATGCTTTATCTCCATAAACAATGGTAATACCTACAATACAGGTCTTTCTCTTGGCTTATACCTAAAAATTACAGTACAAGCCCCATTTACTAAACTGGATAATATTTTTATATTGTGGCCTGATGTTAAATTGCAAGCAAGAATACAATTAGGTGAATATTTATCAGGCAACTGCAGTAATACAAACCTGACCATTACCGCAAGTGTGTGCTGCAGCAACTGCTTCTGTATGGCATATAATGGTTACATGTAATGCAAATATGCAAGGTTCTGAGAAGATGATGGACAGCAAACAATGTCAGTATTGCTGTAGTCTTTGGTCAAAGCTTCATTAATAGGCTGATTATCGAGAATCACTGCATTCGGCTTTTTTCTCCCATTTCTCTGAGGATTACAGTGATCTACCAACCTCCTGGACCGGTGTCCCGCTTTCTTGATGACTTCTCTGCCTGGCTACCCTACTTTCTCTCCTCTGAAATACCCACTATCATTCTTGGAGATTTTAACTTCCCCATTAACAACCCGGCTACATCCCAACTCTTCAATCTAACCTCATCTTTTGTCTTAGCAAAATGGACACAGTCCTCCACTCACTCTGATGGAAATACATTAGACCTTATTTTCTCCCATCTTTGCACTCCCTACAACCTCACAAACACCCCCCTTCTTCTCTCTGATCAAAATCTCATCACCTTCACAGTCTCCTCATCTTCAAACACTTATCCCTCCAAGCAGCAAACAATTACCCTCAGAAACCTTCACAACTTTAACCTTTCTCTTTTCTACTCTGCAACTGACCACCTCTATGACAGCATCTCTCCCCTGTCCTGCCCTGACCTAGCCATTGCTGTCTACAACAGTTCACTTTCATCCAGATTAGACACGCTTGCTCCTCTAACCACATGAAGCATCAGACTCCAACTATTACAGCCTTGGCAAACTGACGACACCAGAAATTTTAAGTGACAAAGTCATGCGCTGGAGCGAATGTGGCGTAAAACCAAATCACACCAAGCTTTCACCTTATATAAATCTGCTTTCTTAACATATTATTTCTCCCTCCATGCTGCCAAACCAGCCTACTTTGTCACTCTCATCAACAGCTTGTCATCCAGTCCTCGTCATTTCTTCTCTACTTTTAACTCTCTACTTTCTCCACCTCTATCCAGCACCTCACTCACTGCTTACGAGACTGCAAATCATTTCAAAAACAAGATTGATGCAATTCGTAGGGGCATCTCTACTGCACAGACATCCATCCCACTTAGTATACCTTATACTAAACCTCCCTCAACACTTTCCTCTTTTGACCTTGCTACTACTGAAGAGGTCACTAAGGTTTTCTCAGAAGCCCATCTCACTACCTGCCCCCTGGATCCTGTCCCCTCACAACTACTGTGGTCACCCTCTTCTCACATCTTCAATCTCTCCCTCTCTAACGGTGCCTTCCCCACCCCTCTAAAGCATGCACACATCAATCCCATACTTAAAAATCCCTCCCTGGACCCCACCAACCTGAAAAACTACCTACCTCACTGACAACAACCTTCTTGACCCTTTACAGTCTGGCTTTTGCTCACTACACTCCACTGAAACTGCCCTACTAAAACTCACTAATGATCTACTAACTGCTAAAACCAATGGCCACTACTCTGTACTCTTACTACTTAACCTCTCTGTGGCTTTTTATACTGTTGACCATCCCCTCCTCCTCACAAAACTCCACTCTCTGGGCCTCCGAGACTCTGCTCTCTCCTGATTCTCCTCCTACCTATCAGAGCGCTCCTTCAGCGTTACCTATAACTCTGGCTCCTCTCCACTCCCTCTTTCTCTTTCTGTAGGGGTCCCTCAAGGTTCTGTCCTTGGACCCCTTCTCTTCTCCAGCTACACCTCCTCCCTTGGTCACTTGATAAACTTCCATGGCTTTAAGTACCATCTCTATGCTGATGACACACACATCTATCTTTCTACTCCTCAGCTCACCCCTTCAGTCTCCTCTCGCATTACTAACCTACTAAGTGACATATCGGCATGGATGTCACTCCACTTCCTCAAACTAAATCTTTTCAAAACTGAGCTCTTAGTATTCCCTCCAGCCCATGCCCCCTCCCCCGACTTCTCCATCAAGACCAATAATACAGCCATCAGTCCCTACCCTCATGCCAGGGTACTAGGTTTAATCCTAGACTCCCATCTGTCCTTTCAGCCCCAAATCCAATCGCTGTCCAAATCATGTAGACTTCACCTCCACAACATCTCCAAGATATGCCTGTTTTTAACCTCGGAAACTACTAAGCAACTTATTCACTCCTTTGTTATCTCTGGCCTTCTCTATTGTAACTCCCTCCTCATTGGCCTACCTCATCACCGACTATCCCCTCTCCAGTCTATTATGAATGCTGCTGCCAGACTCATCCACCTTACTAACTGTTCTGTATCTGCCACCCCTCTCTGCCAATCCTTCCACTGGCTTCCCATTGTCCTACGGATAAAATTCAAAACATTAACAATAATATATAAAGCCAGTTATAACTCTGCCCCAAATTACATCACCAATCTTGTTTCCAAATATCACCCAAACTGTACTCTCCACTCCTCGAACGACCTCCTGCTTTCTAGCTCCCTTGTCTCCTCCTCCCATGCTCTTCTCCAGGACTTCTCCAGAGCTTCCCCCATCCTCTGGAACTCTCTACCCCAATTTATCAGACTATCGCCTACTCTGCTTACTTTTTGGTGATCTCTGTAAACCTATCTCTTCAGGGAAGCCTATCTTGCTGTCGGCTAATAATGGAATCTTCTACTCCTCCTACCAGTCCATCCCCCACAGTTACTACCTTTTGTACCACTAGCCCCTCCCTCTTTGATTGTAAACTCCAAGGAGCAGGGCCCTCCTAACCCTCTTGTATTAAACTGTATTGTTGCTGTATTGTCTCCCAATATATTGTAAAGTGCTGAGCAAACTGTTGGCGCTATATAAATCCTCTATAATAATAATAATAACAATAGAGGAGGAAGAATATGTTAAACAATCACGGGAAGTCTTTTTGCAGCAGGAGTTATTCTGTGGGCTTTAAAGATGTCCATGACAAGCAATAGGTCAATTAAACAATATTGTATACAACTTACACTATATTACGAAATGTATTGGGACACCTGCCTTTACACATACATGAAATTTAATGGCATCCCAGTCTTAGTCCATAGGGTTCAATATTGAGTCGACCCACCCTTTGCAGCTATAACAGCTTCAGCTCTTCTGGGAAGGCTGACCACAAAGTTTATGAGTGAGTCTATGGGAATGTTTGACCATTCTTCCAGAAGATCATTTGTGAGGTTAGGTTCTCTATAAGGTTGAGGTCAGGACTCCATGTCTTTATGGACCTTGCCTTGTGCACTAGTAAACAGTCATACTGGAACAGGAAGGGGCCATCCCCAACCTGTTCCCACAAAGTTGGGAGCATGAAATGTCTTGGTATGCTGACTCCTTAAGAGTTCCCTTCACTGGAACTAAGGGACCAAGCCCAACCCCTGAAAAACAACCCCACACTATAATCCTCCTCTACTAAACTTTACACTTGGCACAATACAGTCAGGCAAGTACCGTTCTCCTGGCAACCATCAAACCCAGACATGTCCATCAGATTTCCAAACAGAGAAGCGTGATTCATCACTCCAGAGAACATGCCTCCACTGCTCTAGAGTCCAATGGTGGCGTGCATTACACCACTGCATCTGATGCTTTGCATTGCACTTTGTGATGTAAGACTTGAATGCAGCTGCTTGGCCATGGAAACCCATTCCATAAAGCTCTCAATGCACTGTTGTTGTGCTAATCTGAAGGCCACACAAAGTTTGGAGGTCTTTAGCTATTGACTCTTCAGACAGTTGGTGACTTCTACACACTGTGCCCTTCAGCATGCACTGACCTCACTCTGTCATTTTACGTGGCCTACCACTTTGTGGCTGAGTTGCTGTTGTTCCCAGTTGCTTCCAATTTGTTATAATACCACTAACAGTTTACTGTGGAATATTTAGTAGCAAGGAAATTTCACAGATGGACTTGATGCGCAGGTAACAACCTATCACAGTACCCCAATTCACTGAGATCCTGAGAGTGACCCATTTTTCACAAATGTTTGTAGAAGCAGTCTGCATGCCTAGGTGCTTGATTTTATAAACCTGTGGCCAAGAAGGTGATTGGAACACCTGAATCCAATGATTTGGAGGGGTGTCCCAATACTTTTAGCAATATAGTGTATATGCACATTTGCTTATATGCACAAAGATGGTCATGTGATGATGCAAGGCGAGTCTGCCAGGCATCACACCAGCAACAAAATTGAATGGATATTTTGATGCCAAAAGGTCAAACATACCACTAAATGTTTCCAAATGCTTGCCTGAAGGGCAGTTCACTCCCCAGTAGTGTATGGAGTATCTGTCATTTAGACCTGTGGTTTTCAGAGAACCAATACCCTTAGTATTAAAAACTTTGACATAGAATAAATGGTATGTTGTACAGCTAAGTATATTTTTAACGTTATAATTTAATTATAATAAATATAATTTATTAATTTTATACAGAATCTCTCATAGTTATCGGCAAATTTGTGGCTCCATTCTGCTATATTTACACTACTGATTATTGTGACCTACACTGACATTACTAATAAGATACATTACTGCCTCAAGTGATGTATATTTTATTTTTCACCAGACTGTATGAAGGCAAGGAGCAGACTGAATTTGAGGAGTCCATGAGAAAGCTTTTTGAATCCATTAATAGCCTGATGAAGAGTGAGCACAAAACTACAATCCTTTTGCAGGTAAAGTTTGTTTTTGGCTCATCTTAATTCTGTAGAACAGCAATAGGATAAGAATACATTTTATACAGTAAAAAAAAGTTCAGCTTCTCTTGTCTAGGTGTCAGTGATGAACTTTGAGTGTATGTTCCATTGTCTTAATGTTCACTGTGGTATTTAAAAGGCATGTTATGCACACATAGAAAGCAGATTACATGTGTTGAAATACCTTGCTATTTTCTCAAGCTGAGAGAGAAGCCGCTGTTAGTGTTTAACCTCCTTAGCGGTCTGATTATGCCCATATTTCTGTGCTCAAAGCGGTACATTTTTTTGCATTGAAATTTGTCATTTTTTTTATTGTAGGCCTGTAATTTTTAGGAATAACTCACTGAAATCTGTCCGAACAAGAGGCTAGTAAACATCCCGGGTATGATAAAATTTGAAACACGAAATCATAAATTATAATTTAATAAATAATCATAAAAAAATAATAATATAATAATAATATATTTAATTCAATAATATAATCAAACCAAAAACACTGAAATTTGAAATATATCGCCACATTCGCACATCACTGAGCAAAGTCGCAAAATCGTTTTCAGTGTCTGATGACGAATTTCCCCACAAATCATTATCACTCAATTCTGCAAGTATTTCTAATTTACTATCGCTGTTCTCTAGCTGGTCTAAAACCACTTTTGACCTAAAGGGACGCTTTTTGGATGCCATGGACGTTTCTCAGTTTTCAGGCAGAAAGAACAGTAAAAATGCAGGCAGGGCACAGGACAAAGCACTAGAGACAAGGGGACGGAACCCAGATGACAGATGCCGGCATCCACCGGAGGACATTACAGGGGACACTGCAGGAGAGACATCGCAGGAGTGAAGGACAAGGTAAGTGATCGAGGGATCCCAGAGCAGCGCCGCATGGTAAGCCCAAGTGTAGCTCAGGGTTACTGCTTGTGGTACTGAAACTTTACCCCGAGCTACACTCGGGAATACCGCCACAGAGTTTAAGGCTTTCATGATATGACATGTATGATAAATGTGTATGTAGAGTCAAAAAATCTGAGTATAGCCAATTTAACACTGTTCATGATCGCCACAATTTTATGACTCTTCACTTTTGCAATTTAAGTGCTAGCTGTATTCTGTTTCACTGGTTTTCTTTGTTGGAAATAATATTTTTGTTAGGATTCCTTACTTTAGCAATGTGAAATCCATACACATAGATTATAATTGGAATAGGAATATTTTTTACCATACCATTAGTAAAAAATAAGGAAAAAAACTATATTGGGACGGCATTGTCTATTATTTGTTTAAAGTAATATTTTGAGAGGGAGGGGTTGAAATCGTAATTATTTGAACAGAATTAACTGAGTTTTAGTACTGAAACCATGACTTTATGTGCCCAGAGAAAATAAAAATCAGAAAACACCAGCATCCAACAAGTGGCAAATTGTTAAAAACCATACTATCCAAAGAGCTAATAATACATGCCATTCAAATTGCACCAAAATTTACAATGAGCTAAAGGAAACATAGGGACTGTCATACATTTTGTTTTGGATAGAGTCGGGGAGGGTTTAAACGACTGTTCTTGTTTTTTCCATCTTTATTTCATTAGGGAGATTTCCTCTTAGACAGTCGTCACCTTGGGAAGATTTCCTTTCTAATCCTGGTCTGGGGGCAACTCAAAATTTTGCATTTACCCTCACTTTTTATTCCTGGTGATATTGGTGATCAGGGGAATTGGATGGAGTAACAAGCTTTGTAACTCCTCATCGCTCTACAAAAATCTAAAAAAGTGGAATATACTGTATGTATTATGCTTAACACATTTATTCAACAAAAAGAAAAAACAATATGCACAAATGTAAATGCTTTCTGTTTTCTTGTTATAATTTAAATACATTTTCAGGCTATGGAAGCTTCCTATATGCATTTTACATTTACTGACACAAAGCTTGATTCACTAATCTAAAATGATCAGTACTAAACATAGCCAATATTTTTAAGGAATGAGGAAGGCTAATGATCTTTATGTCAAGTAACACATGTTCAAGACCTTGAGTGTATAATGTGGGAAATCACTAAATATTCATCAACTTGTTTTATAGAACAACCAAACCCTTATTTAAAGAAAATCTATAATGACTTTTGTAATTTTTTTGATGGCTTACAAGAACTTTTTAAAATATTTTTATTGCATTTATAAAATGTTTAATTTACAAAAAAATTTACTCAAGTGCTTCTGTGTTACTGTTTGCAGAGCCATGACAACCTGTTTTTTGACAATAATTCATAGCAGCAATATGAGCTACACACAGGGAGGCTGTTTTTCCCTCCTGGTTATGATGTGTGGGGTAAGAGGAGGTTTACGTTGTGCCCAGAGATAGACTTTAGCAAACAGAACAATTCAATCCTTTTTGCTCACAGTAGTTTACAACAAAATATTCTAGTAATGCTAATAACTTTGTAAAAGTAGATTGATTATGCATTTCGCCCTGTTTGGGGACTTCACCTTACATAATGTCTGCAGCTTCAACCTACAGCAGATTGGTATACAGAAAAAATTTACTTTTAGGGTACTGAACACAAAGCAATACTAATGTTATTGTTAAAACCAATTAAAGTTTATTACAAAAGCATAGTTAAAATAATAAAAAAATTTTAAAATATTTTAGAACCCGAGGACTCTCGAATGTAAGCCATCTGGTCCTGGTGATTTATTTGCGTCAAGCTTTTCAAGTCTTTTTCGGACAGTGGTTTCTGTAAGCCACTAGAGTAAATTCTGTGATGTATTACTAATGATATACTGAAAACTGAGGAGAAGAATGCAATTAGTACAGTTGTCTTCTCCTTATCATTTGTTGCCTTCATCATTCTTTATGGGTCCAATGTGTTCTGACTTTGCTTTTTTACTATTAATATACAGAATTTAAAGAATTTTTGGGGATTTTTTTTTTTTAACTCTTCTCCACTATGTGTCTCTCATGGTCTATCTTAGCCACCTTGATTGTGTTCTTACATTTCTTATTGCATTCTTATTGCATTCCTTGTAGTGTTGAATTGACAACAATGACCACTCTGTTTTATATTTTTTTAAAGGCTTTTTTTGTCTCTTTAACATGTATTTTCACATCAAAGTTTACCCACCCAGGTTTAATCTTAGCTCTTTTATATTTATTGCCTTTTAAAATGCACTAATACTATATATTATGTTCCTAAAGTACTCCCATTTTTCCTCAGTGTTTCTAGGATTTGATCCCATTTAATATCTTGTATAGAGCACAGTTTAGAAATGTTGTCTCTCTTGAAATTCAGCGTTCTTGCACTACCCATTTGCCTCCTTTCCCCCTAATTTATGTTAAATGTAATTATCCTAAGTTCCTAGTTGTCCCTTGTATCCACATCCATGATCAGATCAAGAATTGCCTTGCCTCAATGCAATTTCTGCCTATGAAAGGAGGTCAGACTTCTCCACATCCTTAGGTTAGGGGGCTTGTACCACCCATAGGGACTCCACCTCCTCCCTTGACCCATTTGCAATGTTGTCCCTCACGTTCACCAGTAAATCATTCTTAATTTATAATAATATTAATATAAATATATATAATTCCTAATATCTTAATATAATATATCGGCTTTTGCATTGGTAGTGGATGCAAGAACTGACGTTAAATCTGATGAAAAACGGATGTAAATATCATCTGTTTTTTCTTTGAAAAAACATGACTAAACTGATGAAATGAATGGTCTGCATGTGTGAAAGAGGCCTTAGGGTCATAATTTCTGTTACTTGTGTAACTATGCTGTTGCCATAATGCTTACATTTAGTTTTGTTACATTGGAAGTCCAAGAAACAATGATGCAGGAAACTTTATAAAGTTGTTGCCATAATTGCACAAGTGGGAAGGGACTCTGCTTTATTACAGTTGTTGGCAGAATGCACTTTAATTACTCATCTCTTTCCAGCTACCCTACGGCCATAATATTCTTACCTATCTAACTACGTTTTCCATTGTGCTAACATTGAGTTTGGCTACTATTGCAACATTGAGTAAGATTGAAGAAACATTGATGCAGGCAACTTGATCTAGAATATTGTCTATTTTAAAGTATTCTTTTGGTAAACTAATTGTGAAAATAGTAAATATCTCAGTGTCCGATCAAATGAAAAGTCCTCAATCAGTACCCCCACGTGACTTCTTAATTCTCCAAAACTTGTATATTCTCAATTGATAAATCTTGAAAACGGTGACCTCCTCTTCCTCTTTAAACCTCAAGGAAATATATAAAAACCGCATATAGTGCATTATCTTTGCCACACAGTAAAAATAAACTACAAACCACTCCTTTGACAAA